CTTTAAAATATTCTGGAACTTTGTCTCACGTTTCTTTTCCAAGGTCTCAGTTTTGTGTTTGCTGATAAAGAGTTCCTGTAATTGAATCATATTTATTTTGCTTCTGTTCAGGAAGAGCAACGGCAGCAAAAGGAGGAAGAAATGGATGACTATTGTTCACAAGTATGTCTTAAGTATACTCGTTTCCAATCAATTGCATATAAGAGCATCTGATCTTTGTTGTCAAAAGTATTTTCAGAATTTCTCAAATTTTTTATGCTGTGTATTATCAATGTCCAGGTCCCTGTTCGACATCTTGTATTCATGGTGCATGGTATTGGCCAAAAAGGCGAAAAGTCTAATCTTGTTGACGACGTTGGAAACTTCCGTCAAATCACAGCAGGTTTAGGGGAACGTCATCTAACATCTCATCAGCTCGGCACTCAAAGAGTCCTTTTCATCCCATGCCAGGTAGCTCTATATATATACTGTATATCCTTTTCTGGTTTATCTTTGTATTGTATGGTCTTACTTTATATATTATTTCTTTCTTTCTCTATTGTTTTTGTAGTGGAGAAAAGGTCTAAAGCTAAGTGGTGAAGCTGCTGTTGATAAATGTACTCTAGACGGTGTACGGCGTTTGCGAGAGATGCTGAGCGCAACAGTTCATGATGTGTTATACTACATGAGCCCCATCTATTGTCAGGCTATAATTGATTCGGTATTTCAGTTTCCCAAATTTGACACTCTCTCTGTCTTAAAATGTGCCAAATTGAATCTAGTTTGTGATTTGGTTTTAGTATTTAGAAACAACCTAATAGTTTATTAGACATTAATACTACCATTTTCTGCATTAATTATAATCTGTGCTTGTTTACATCTTTCAGGTCTCTAGCCAGCTCAATAAACTGTATCTGAAATTTAGAAAGAGAAACCCGGGCTATGATGGAAAGGTGCCTATCTGATTAACTCTATTGGATTTCATCAATCTGTGACTTGTGTAAGCTTCCATTAAACTCATAATTTATGTTCTGTTCATGGACATGTTACAGATTTCCATATATGGACATTCTCTGGGGAGTGTTCTCTCCTATGACATCTTATGTCATCAGCACAATTTGTCATCCCCATTTCCAATGGATGCAGTATACAAGAAATTCTTTCCAGATGAAGATTCTCCTCCAGTTCCAGCTGCCGCTGATGAACCTTGTAGTTCGCATCAATCATTGAAAGTTGAGTCAGAGAAATCTAACGAGTTGAATAACGCCGAGGAAATCACAGGTCAAGACAATAACATGATGGATATAGAATCAACTGTATTGGAGAATCATGATGTCATTCAAGAAACTCCTTCATTGGTCTCTGATTCTGTTGTGGACACCGTGGGTTTGGAAATAAGAGAGAGCCAGGAAGATGGACCAGATGGAGCTGACTCTGGAACGCCTGATTCTTCATCCTGTTCTCCAGAACAAACATGGGAGGAAAAATGTGAAAATTCGAATAAAGACGAGATGATCATGTTACTACGGGAAGAGGTAAACATTGATACATCCAACTTTTCAGTTCTTTGATCAGATTACCTAGTTTATATTCTTGCAGCTTTCAACTTTCGTGTTCACAGCATCTCATACATCCTTAGGGATTGTGTTTTTCTGTTGAAATTCTTGATCAGTTTGTTTGCTTATCAGTGGAATGGTTTTAATCCCAGGTTAAATCACTGAGGTCAAAAGTAGCGCAACTGCAATCAGAAAATGCCAGAAAAATCGATGGTATGAATACTGAATCTCGAATTTATATTTTCCAAATGTTTGAAACTTCTTTCATGTACATCTTAGTGATGATATGAGATGGTGTTATCAACAGAAAAAGCCAAGACATCAGTGATACCTGAACAGCACATCAACGAGAAGGTGCCAACAAAAGGTGCCACTACACCTTCTAGCTTTACTCCTTATATCAAGTACCGAAAGCTCGAGTTCAAGGTTTGAGATATAATTAATTTGTCTCCAACTCTATATCTCAGTTCGGAAACCATAATGACAAAAAGTGTCACCCTAACTTTTAACTGTATATCCTGTTCAGGTTGACACTTTCTTTGCAGTTGGGTCTCCTCTTGGAGTCTTCCTCGCCCTTCGAAATATACATCTTGGGATAGGTAATACTTGTTCAGTAGAGTTTCTTGTATGTTCTTTTCTCTGCTATTGAATTATGAAGTGTCTTTATACGCTATAAAAGCTGTTTAACATGTCGTAGGTAAGGGAAAAGATTACTGGGAAGAGGAGAATGTTATTGAAGAGATGCCAGCTTGTCGTCGAATGTTCAACATTTTTCACCCCTATGATCCTGTTGCATATAGGTTCGTCTCATAGGAATAAAAAAAATAATATTCTAGCTAGTTTATGGTCTATCCCTATATTACGTTATTTTGACAGTGTTATTGTGTTTCACGTGTGCAGAGTGGAGCCACTTGTCTGCAAAGAGTACCTTCCCAAACGACCTGTTATTGTTCCTTACCACAGAGGTGGCAAGCGGCTGCATATTGGATTACAGGTACTTGAATCTTATGCTGTGATGTTCCCTTTTGCTCTGCCTCTTCTTATTTGTTTGCCGTAATGTTCTATAGGATTTCAAAGAGGATTTTAGGGTGCGTTCACAGAGAGTAATGAATCATTTTGCTTCAGTAAGGGTGTGTGTTCCCGGACTTCTAATTAGTTTCGTTTATTTTGATCTTGTTCTTGAGTCGTTATCTTTTGAGGTTCAACATACACAAGGCTCATCTTTAATTCTCATGCAGACAAGAGTTCTTACTATTTGCCAATCCAAAAGCTCGGATGAACTAGAAGGTAAAAGTTCGATTTTCTCTGCAAGCTATTTTCACTCCCATTTGATGGCTCCACAGTTCGATTTTCGCTGCAAGCTTTCTAATGTTCCTTGAACAGAGACGGAAGAAACCGATGACGAAAAGGATGGAAGGTCCTATGGTTCCTTAATGATGGAAAGGTTGACTGGAACTCAAGATGGTCGAATAGATCACATGCTACAGGTAGAAATCATGATGCATCTTCACCTAATCAATAGCCTTTTATATTCTATTGGATTTGGCTTAAGCATGCTAGTTTTCATATAATAATTGACTGACTCTTTGGGTGATACAGGAAAAAACTTTTAAGCATCCGTATCTACAAGCCATAGGAGCTCATACGTAAGTGAAATTCTTCATTGATAAAAACATCAGATCTACGTTTAGAGGCAAGAACTCATATGACTGTTCTGTATTGTGCAGAAACTATTGGAGAGATAATGATACTGCTCTTTTCATAATTAAACACTTATATCGTGAGTTACCAGACGAACCAAACTCGCCCATGGAATCAAGTGAAGGAGATGATAGTCCAAAAGACTCAAGTAGACCTCATAGCTGGATAGATGGAAGAGAGACTGATGATGCTGATGAGGAGCTTCCTTTAACATTCTCCAACAAACAAATCGCTAGAAGCTTCTCTGCAGAAGCCAAGAAATATCTAAAGAAGCCTTAAACACGTTGACCAGGTCTATAGGTTTGAGTATCTGAAATCCAGCAAAAAAAATAAAAGCTCCTGATTTTGTTTTTTGTTTTTTTGTTTTTTGTTTACTGTGTATAAATAACATATAATGCTTCCTTTGGGCTCCATGGTTTTGCCTCATTGTAACCATAATTTTGCAGATAATAAAGAAAACGATGAAAAGCTTCTTCCTTTGGGCTTATTGTTTCGCTGTTAGCTGAGTATCTTTTTCAGGTCTAGAGTTGAAGATGTTTAGTAGATATTGGCTGAAAAATCGAGTCAGACTCTAAAGCTCAAGCTGCAGTGAGTTCGGGCCACACAATAGCAGAGTCAGACCACGAGCCATCATTTCAGGCGCTAGGTCTGGTTAAGGTAACTAACTCCTATTTATCTCAACCGTTGAACATACAGTTTAAAGTAAAGGGTCACCCGTCAAATGGTAGAAGTAGTTAAGAGTTTCAGCAAGAGATGATGTTATGAGGGACTCAACGATGGAATAAAAGGTTTGTAGCAAGTGAGATTGTTCGGGGTAGAAGTAAAAGTAGGTCACCGGGGAAAACGGTTGAGATTTGGGAAATAGAGAAAGGCTATGAACTTTCTCAGGGTTGTTGCCGGAAGCTTTGACTATGAACTCTTCGTTGAAACCAATGTTCGGAAACTTGCTAGGCGCTACACGTTCGGTCGGAGTCGGACAGCGCCTAGCGCCTAATCAATTAAACGGGAATTATACGGGGATTAATCGGGAAGTTATTTTAGGGCTTTCAAATAAATATAATGGTTATAAATAAAATATGTTGAGTATTTCTGTACTGGAAGCGTAGTCCAGTGGCTACGGAGTATTATAAATGTTGACATGAACCCGGGTTCGAGCCTTGTATTCTCCATTTTGAACAATATTTTTAATATTAGGTTAAATAAATAGTAAATGACAAAACCACCCTCGTCTTCTACCTTTTCCCTGCGAAATCTGTAGCCGCTTTTTCTAATTTTTTTTTTTTTTTTTGCGATTTCTGTATTCTTTCATGCTAATCTTGTGAGTTTGGTTTTTAATAATACAAATCTATAACTTAACATGTGAGATCGAGTCTCAAAACTATAAAACGATGAACTTAAAAAAATTTCCCGATTAACTGAGCGATTTGGAGCAAATCGCGACGGTCACCGGCCGATTTACGCTTTTCCGGCGTCTACTCGGCCGCGTTGTACGCGTTTTAGAACACTGGTTGAAACACATCAAACATGTTTATTTTGAGTTGCAATAGGTAAAACGAAGGGAAGTTTATGCTGAATGATATTTATTCATTAGAAATTCAAACATTATTTTGGAAGTAAAATATGAAGAAACGAAAAAAAAATGTAAATAAATTTAAAGTTTGTTGAGACAAAAATGATGCAAGTCCTTCAGCACTTAAGAATTTTGTATGTTTCACTGCTAGAACCATGTATCAACCAACAATGTAGCTGTGAGAACAAAACTTTCTATTCCGGACTGATCTCAAACTCGGCTCCTATCGGTAAGTGGTCACTGGGGTGATGATTATTTGGTAAGAAACCAACAACATCGGGAGATTCTGGTTCAGGTAGTTGGAGGATACTCACAGGTTTGATGGAGTCTGAAGGAGAGAAGAAGATGTAGTCAAGTGTGTTTGTGAAGCCTGGAGTGCAGTTTGTGAACTTAGGCTCTCCTCTTGTCACTCCATAGACACTACACATAGGAACTGGAGCTTCTTCTATGGTCTCTGCAGGTTTCGTATAACCCGATACTAGGTAACTATACACCTGAAAACAAGAAACAAGATCCATTTGATAAAATAGATTGGAACAAGTGAGGAACTCAAGTCTCAAGGTAAGGAATTGGATCAAACCATATCCCCAGGGATTGAATTGAAGTCACCGGCTAGTAGCAACGAAGGTGTGCACTCGAATTCATCTGATATTAGCGTCTTGAACTGAGCTAGACGTGAAAGTAGATACTTGGCTTGTGCAAGCTTCACATCAGCCAACTCCGGGTCCCTAGAAAGAAAGCTAACATGAGAATGAGACATGCGGATAGCAAGAAAATCTGTAATGGGCCGTGACAAGAGTTCTTTTTACCAGTAAAGATGTGTGTTTGCCACGATGACAATGTGATGAAACGGCTTGTTGATCCTAAAAGCAGCCATTATTCCAACACAATCGCGTTTTAGCCTCACTTGTGGATCATTCAGGTCACGGCTGTCTTTTCCAGAATCTTTTTTTTTTGTTTTTGGTTGAAGGAAACATGAGTAGATAACTAGTTGGTAAATTTGTTGAGATATAAAAGAAACACCACAAAGAAGTTGACAAATCTACCTTTCGCTTTTTCATCACCTTTTGCCTCGTTAGAGGTCTCAATCTTCTGTCCGCTGCAGGAAACACTATCTGCCTTTACTGAGTTCAAAAGATCATTGTACTCGATCCGTTCTTTGGTGACTAACTCTGCACTAAATCCATAGAAGAGTTTTGTTTCTATCAGATTAAGGTTTCTGCATTAAGTTAAAAACATTCTTTGGTTACACGCCTAGTGTTTTTGTAAATCATACCAGCTAGGCTTGTAAAAGATTGCACAACCATCACGCTTTCTCTGTCCGGTTCTCTGAATATAAATCCCAGAGTAACCCAGAGACTCCATGTTTTTTCTGTAAAAGCAATCGTACTCATCTACTTCCTGAGAAACATGCAACAGTTAAAACTAAAATAGTGGGGACTGTCTATGTTGATACAGATAATTGAAAGGCGATGTGAAGAACACTAACATTTATACACAGTATGAGGCTGTCTATTGGATAACTAAGAAGGGATTTGGTCTCATTAGTAAAAGGGTTTACAAATTTCTAGCGAAACACAAAAGAAGGAAGCTCACAAGAACAAACCTGCAAACAAAAGATGTCAGCCTGGAGTTTTTTCAGAACGCTAAGAATGGCATGTGAACGAGCTTTCCATCTGCGGCACAAAAAGAAAAGGAAGACCAAGTCACATTGACTGCAAATCATAACAATTTTAAAAAGCACAATCTCAAAGTAAAATTTGTTAATAGATCATTAACTGAGCAAGATCAAACATAGCGATGATGCCCGTTTCTCACTGAAGTTCTTGGACAATCATAGGATGCATTGTTTCAGTACATAGGCTTCTAGTCATGATCGGAAATAAAATTTAAGAGGCAAATACTGACTAAAGTATCTATGTTCTAGGCCATTGATTACTAAGAAACTTTGATTAAAGTAAGAAAAAAATTGAACTAAAAAAAATGAGAAATGCAGAGATATATACTTGAGGCAGGCAGGTGGAGAGTGTGGGAAAACGGAGCTCTTAACATAAACCTGTAGAAAAAAAGAGAAGCTCAAAGAGATTAGAAATCACACAAACAAACAAAAAAGGAATAAAAGAAACAATCTTCATCTCGAAATCAAAGCCCTTAAACACACAATACAAGGACTCAGTTTTGATGTGAAATAGACTTAGAATACAAAAAGTTTTGTCAAAATGCTAAGCTACACCATATCATGAAGCATAGTTATTTGAGTACCTGAGCTAGTATGTTATAGGAAACAAGACGGAATCTGATGCCTACAAACATTAAAACTCTCAACACCACCTCAAAAATTACATTACTTAGTTTAGAAACCACAAGCTTTGTTAGTAAACAAACATACCATCAGGTTTGCTTATTGAACTAAGATCAGCTCCTTCAACAGATTCAAATTTTCGAACTTTAGGTTCCATTGCAGTGCTCATTCTTTTTGAAAGAATCTTCCTGCAGGCTCGATAACTGATTCAATCAAATCATAAAGGGGGTCAAAACTAGGAACATTTATCAGTATTTAGGTTGAAATTAAATGGCTGAGTTAGTCAAATCATTGCCACATCAAATCAAAGATCCGAGAGGGTCAACTCCAGCTAAAAAAAAAGGATGATAAATCTTGTTCATTCTTTTTTTTTTTTTGCTCTCGATTTGGTCGCATTACTGAATTCGAAACTACAGATAAGGAAACCCACCTGGTGAAAGTAGGAATAATGGGACGAGGGAGATGAATCAGAGTATTGTTAAACATCTGCTGACGAAACCCTCTTTTGTTTGGTCTTAGACTAGAGGAGGGTTCAAAATTAAATATCCAGTCTGATGATAAACTAGGAAAATATTATTATTCGGCCCCTTTACTTTTACAAATTATGCAATGAACCGTAAATTTGATATCAGTCATATATAACCAAATACTAGATTTTAACCACGATTGTGCGGATATTTTTATTTTATAAATATATTTCATATTATTACAAATGGTTCCAATATATAATTTATATTTCATTTTTATATACTGTATAACTTTATAATATTATTATTTATATTACTTATTTGACATTATTAATATACTAGGATCAGCCGCACTACGCGCAAGATATGTTGTACATATTATATATATATATATATATATAATTGTATTATTGTATATTTTCATATTGTTTGTGTGTTTATGTTAGAATTTGCAAAAGAAATGTATAATACTTTACGTTTTTTTTTTAATGTTAGGATGTGGAGGGATTATATATGTTAAAATTAATTGTGTTTCATTTTGCTGTTTGTGTCTTTATTAATATGTTGCAGCATATAGGTTTGATGTTGTTTACATGGTCTTTTATTTGTGTGTTTTTGATAATTCTAAATCATAATTGGTTGGTTAATTGTGTTTTCTATATTTTGGGTTCTTAAGAATATGAGTTTGTGGTTTTCATGATTATTATTTTTATGAAGGGATTTGACTCCAAATGATTGAATTTCGTAACGCTTTATGCAAGACTGAATATGATATTGAGGAGCTGAGTAAAATAACAAAGTGTAATGTAAAATAAGTAGCTGTTATTGAGATCAACCAAGAGTTACAAAGGATGTGCTACATAACTAAAGTAACTTGTGTTATAAGGTAGCATTTATAAGAGTATTGTTGGATTATGAATAAGTTTATTTGTTATGTTTCAGAGGACCTCTACCCATATGATGTGTCAGTTTATTTCTTATGATTAAGTTAATTAAGACAAAACGCGTGTATTTTTTGACGATCATTGGCCGAAGTATGTATTTTTTTAGTGGTTGTTTATTTTTTAATTGTATTCTTTCAACATCTTGATCAAGTTGATTTTTTTTATAGAATCATAGAGTTCAAGTTAACAAACTGAAATTTCATTTCTTATAAAAAACAGTTGAAACACTGAGTGCAATAAGATTAGAAAACCATAACTACTAAAAATTAAAACACTGGAATTGGAAAGTGAGAAGAACGGATGTGGGTTCATGAGTGAAGATTGTTGTTATACAGGGTTTATTATCTCCAAAAACTTCTCTATTTGTTGTAAAAGAAACACTAAGTGCAACTGCTTTCAAAATCATTGAGCTTGCTATTTTTTGGTAGCATTATAAGGATCATATTAATTCCATAACATGATAGGGATATCGGGCAATGAACATTTGATTTTCTGTTAAATAGACATCCTAACATTGTTTCATTTGTCATTGTGATCCATTAGTATTGTGTTTATTTGATTAACATAAAGACAACTTCATATGTGGTTGATTATTTCTCCTATATTAAATTTTAAAAAGAGTAGTGTGTATTTTTGTAGACAAATTTTATTTAGACTAATCTAAAATTCTTTCATTATTTTAGCTTCATGTAACTTTTTCATCGTGTTTTTTTTCGAAGATGTTAGTATTATCTAAGTTTTTATTTAACACGCCATTTACTAACATCTTCGAAAATAAATTGTTGGCTAGTAATAATCTATCAATTATTAAATTTGTTGTTAATAGATTTCATACACAACTAAGTCATGCAACAGTTCGAAAGACACACCAAATAGATTTTTTACAGAACATGTTCGACTTGAGCTTATCTAGATTTCAGGTGCGGCAGAGTTTTAATTCAAAGATGCACCAGAGACACGTTTGACGATCTCTTTACAATTTTGACGTCGATAAACATACGTGATTGTAGAAGCTAATGTCCATAATAGAATAGATTGTAGAGTAAAGAAAATTCTAGGTAGTATGAGAAAAGTGAAGCACTATTTTCCATAATCCATAGAAAACAAATAGGGATAAAAACTGACAAAACAAAAAAAAAAAACAATTTGATACACAAATTGAGAGATCAAAACGATGACAAAGATGCTGCAATGACTGAAGGAAAAAGCTCTGCAGCTTTGACCTGAATATTAACGAACAAAGCTATATGAGACAAACAATGAACCATCTATGTAGAAGCAATAGTTCAAGTTGGTTACTCGTAGAGTCCATGAGGTGAGCATCTCCACAAGTGTCACTGCATTAGTGAAGAAATGTAAGGAGATCTTGTTGCTTCCACTCGAAGGTTGTGGTTCTTTCCTCCAGGACTTCTTAATCTTGGGAATGCATTCTTTAGCTTTTGAGGTTGAGACCTTCTAGGCATCCATCTGATTTGATTCACAAAGGCTCATTTGTTTGTGTAACCGTAAGCAATTCTTCCATAGTGGTCACAACAATGTTGGTGATCAGAGACTTATCCATGTCTGAGATGACCAAATTTGGTAGAGACGGTAAACTCGAGGCAACCATTGAAGAACAATTTATTGGAAGAAGATCAAAATCAAGGGAAAGACCATTGTGGAGTAACTCTAATGAAGAAATATGCATCTGGTTTAGTAATGGTGGGAGATGAGAAAGTGGCCTCCCCATAAATTTAGATGCAATGCTAGAAACCCTCTTTAGCTGCTAAAAAAATATATGTTAGTGGAAGACCGGAAGTTTATTCTCAAAGATCAATTACAATGCATGAAAGAGGTTTATTTTTTTTTAAAAAAAAGATAGAATATCTTCTCTAAACATATTCTATTCCAACCTTCTGTTCATCAAAGTTAGATTATTCATGAACAAAAGCATCACCACAGGTGGGGCAAATGGGGTGTTTGAGAGCTTCTCTAATGGCAATATTTCCGCAATGAATCCTATCTTTTTCTTTCTTAAGTCACAATTAGTAGGTGTCTCGTGTTGTGCCTGCAAGAAGAAACAATGGAGAAGCAAAACTATGGACTTCTCTTTGTTTTTTCTTTTCTTTTTTTGGTTAAGAGACAAAGCGAGGAAAAGAGAAAGCAAAAAGTTGAAAACCTTTTTATGTGTGTTTTTGGTTCTGAAACCAAAACTTGACCTGTCTTGGAGCTAAGCCCAATTCTGAATCCTACTGTAACTTGCTGTCGTATGTATGCATATCTTAATAAAAGTGTTTTGCTTTTCTCAGGTTTCAGTTGGGGCACATATCCATCACTGAAACCCTGTTATTTACACTGGAAATATGTTAGATTTCAGCATTACAGGTAAAATATCAAAACAAATCTTCATGACAAATAAAATTCTAGGGGCTGATCTGGTCAATGGGGTTTCATCAAACAGGAGAATCATATATGTCAATGCAGTATCCGGACAAGCTAAAGTAATCAACCCATGCACAACTCACGGTAATTATGGTGTATGTTTTCATGCTTTTTCTATGATCAGTTGGATTTCTGAGAACACTTTCAATATGAGAAGTTTTTATTTTGATGCGGTCCTTTGTTGCATCCGCACAATTAAATTTAAAGGTCATGGTTTGATGCTGCAAACAAAAGTCAAAGTGCTACTTGGAAACACCATATACATTGAGTTTCCTATATAAAAAAAATCAAACAATAATTAAAATCTGGATCATCTCCCATAAACGAAACTTTTTGAATAAAAATTTAGATAATCAATCATGAACAAATGTAAACAAAAATCAACAAACATAATCAAAACAAAAGCAACAAACAAGAAATCTAATCATCTCCTATAAAATAATGTTTTTGAATAAAATTTCTTATAATCATAGTGTAAGAACAATTTAACAAAATCAAAAAACAAAATCAAAACCATCTCCCACAAAGTATTTTTTTTTAAAGTCTAATCATTATGAGTTACAAACGCTGGAATTACCTATGCTTTGCGGAGGAGCATGTCCACAACCATAAGCTTGCTACCAAGCTTCATGTTTCTAGATTACCTAGAAGGAAAACCTCGACGGTGGAGGTACACTGGCCAGACTTTAAATCAGCGAAGAGGACAACTAAGTTTTCCAGTTTTATCAGAGGAAATTTCAGAAAACTTATGATTGAGAGAATAGGACTAATGAAATTCACGGGATAAGACTTAGAGTTTATAGTGGAAGATTCTGAGAAAAGAAATACAGGGGATGCACTAAATGATGTGTGGAAAACAATTGTTTATGAGTCCACTGAAGACGAAGATTTGATTCAGACCGAGATCTTAACGTTTCGAGATTTTTTTGTAACTAGGAAGATGAAGAGATAAAAGAATTAGAGCTAAAGAAGTTTGGGTGGCGAAGGAGAATATCTGAGAGGGGTCCAACTTGACATAGATTAAATTGGACTCAGATTAATATGTGTTCAGGCCCATACAAAAGTGACCCATAAACAAATTGACGAAACCTAGTGAAAAGTTGAAAACTAACCACACACGAAACTCGTTAAACAAAATGCAGCAGTGTTACTCATATTAAGAAAGGGACATGTGTCACTTTTAGATAACTCAAATTAATGACGTGGCACCATAGATGGAGGGAAAACCCTACTTTATATAATTAGATAGGGATTTGTTTACAATTTACTTTGTTATTAATTTTTATTACTTACTAATATATTTTCAATTTAGGTACAAAAAATAACAATAGGAAATAATCAATTAAAAAATCTCATTTAAAATCTATTTTTTTCTAATTTATATATTTTACATATAATACATTTAAAAATTTTATTTGTTTATATTATAGAAAATAAATATGATTTTATAATATAAAGAAAAATATTAAGATTTCTAAGTAAAACACTGTTTTGTTAAAATAATATATCCCTATTGTTTTCGTAAATTTTATATATAGTAGTATCCATCATATTATTTTAGTAAATTGTATTGATATATGATATTTTTTAATGTTATTATACTGAGATTTTTAATTAAGACTTCAAAATATTAGACTTCAAAACATTATTTTTACTATGTATGATTTTATCTTTTTTAAAATTTGAAATATTATCAATTTGAGTTTGAATATTCATTTCTAGTTTTTAATATTTTGTCATAAAAACATTGGAAAATTACACAACCACTTTTGAGTTTGAAACATTACATGAATTTTGATTTTTTTTTGATACCACATTAATATATTATTATCTTATAAAAACATTTTAATTTTGGTAATATTTTTTAAAAACTTTCTCAACAGATTTTGTTATAATTAAAATAAAAATAAATCTATAATTAAAGTTGATTTTACATTAATATTTTAAATGAATTACTAAAATTTCATAGTTTTCTAATAACATATTTTAAACAGTATATGACTAAAGGTTATTATATATTATTATATTTTTGCATATTGACATTTTTAAACAATATATTGAGCAGTTCAAAATAAATAAAAAGGGTTTTTGCAAAATTGACTCAAAACTCATAGTCAAACACAAAACTAACTTCTTCTTTTAACTCATCTTGTTTTTGTCCTATTCACCCCACATCTTCATTTTATTTACGAAAATGCCATTAATTTTTTTTTTCGAAAATGACCTTTTTACTCTCTCAACCTCATCATCTTCAAGTATTTACAACATTGCCATTGCCATGAATACTCCCAACAACCTTGTACAACCTAACAACCTTGTACAACCAAGGTTTGAAGCTTTTAATGCACTTAAAATCGATACCCATACTCTCTTTCTCAATTGTTATGAACTAAAAACAACATCTCCTTCACTTTGTCTCCATATTCATACCAAAAACCCAAGCTTTTGATAGCACAATTTTTTATGGTTGACAGAGTCATTTAAGCATTCAATTGTTGGTGGGTTACTTTCGTTTGATGTTCTGGGTGGTTGGAGAAGACTCTGTGTGCAAAGGAAGTCATCTCACCTAGTTAAGGTATGAAATTGAATTTTTTTCCAGATCTGTTTACGTAGAAGACTTACCCGTAAGTCATCTGGATGTAGAAGACTTACGGATAAGTCTTCTGGTCAAATGGACGATTTAGAATTAAAAAACACCAGACGACTTATAATTAAGTCGTCCAGCTTTGTTTGTTAAAAAAAAACACCAGATGACTTATAATTAAGTCGTCTAGGTAAAACGGGCTACTTTTGCATTTGACCGAATTGTGTCAGATATTTGACTTTTTCTGGACGACTTACAATTAAGTCGTCCCTGGGAAAGTTAAAATTTCAATATTTTATTAAATCTAGACGACTTACGGATAAGTCGTCTTAGGTTAGTTTTGCAATTCAAAAAATAAAACTTAAATTTTTAACTTGTCCAGACGACTTAATTGAAAGTCGACCGATCAGACGACTTATGTTAAAGTCGTCCAGGATAATCAAAGTCTACCAGAATATTTTCCGAGTTTTCTGGTCAAACCTTGCTTATCCTGGACGACTTTAACATAAGTCGTCTGATCGGCCGACTTCCAATTAAGTCGTCTGGGAGAAGTTAAAAATTTAAATTTTATTTTGAATTGCAAAACTAACCTGAGACGACTTATCCGTAAGTCGTCTAGATTAAATAAAATATTGATATTTTAACTTTCCCATAGACGACTTAATTGTAAGTTGTCCAGAAAAAGTCAAATATCTGACACAATTCCGTCAAATGCAAAAGTAACCCGTTTTACCTAGATGACTTAAAATTAAGTCGACTTAGAATCTGGATGACTTAGAATTAAGTCGTCCCATTTAAATTTCAATTGCAAAAATGACCTCAATGGACGACTTACGGGTAAGTCGTCCGGACGACTTACTGGTATGTCGTCTAGACGATGTTTAGTAAACTTTCATGAAATTCTCTGTGTTTACTAATGTGTTTTATTTTGAATTTTTGCAGATGATTCGTCAGTTACATGCAGTGTATGAGAATGGTTGTTGAAAGATTGCCGTTGGAATTTTGTGGTTGATGATCTCAAAGGAGCAAGATTGTTTTTATTGAATGAAGATTCAACACATGTTGAACTTATTGCAATGGCACAAGAAGATTATAACCTGGACATGAGCACAGTCACTGTGGAGATTAGATACTCATTACCAGCAGAAATGATGATGGCTCCAGACACCCCTCCCATTCATGTTACAAGTGATAGACAAGTTCGTAACTTGCTCGAGATACTCAAAACTCATAGAGTATGTCTTTGTGTATTAAGCCGTAGCAATGTGGGAACGGTTTCAGAGGAAAGGGAAGAAGCTGATGAATGGTTTAAAGATGATGAAGTTGATGAATGTTTTGAAGATGAAGGTGATAATGAGTTGTTTGAAGATGAAAATCATGATGGGAAGGAGGATGATAAGGAGGAGGATGCTGAAATCACTGTTTGCTCTAATGTTGCTAAAGCGGACGAGAATAGTGAGGATTATAGTGTTTATGGAAATGTTAGAGATGAGGATGAGGAAGAAGATGGTGATGTGGATTTTGAAGATTTCAAAGATACATATGCTATTGAAGGAGGACGATCGAATGGTAATGGTATCTATGTCAACAAGAGTTTTGTTAGCACGGATGCACTACTTTCAGAGCTGCGGTTGACATCAGTGAGGCGTAAGTTCTCCTTCAGAATATATATGTCAACAAAAACTCTCCTTGTGGCAACATGTCGGGTTAGTGGTTGTGGATGGAAGATAAGAGCGAGTGTGAAACATGGGAAAAACACGTTTTGGGTAACAACATATGAAACACATACATGCTCAGTGGGAGACCGAATCGCTCAGCGGAGACACTGTACTCCAAAGTATGTTGGTAGGCTTTTCATTGATCATGTTGGAATTATTGATGGGTTGACTCCGCAGCATATCAAAGATGCAATGAAGAACATGTTTGGCATGGAGCTTGATTACACCACTTCATATAGGGCACTGTTATATGCACAAACATTGGTGAGAGTAACAGCAGAAGATGGGTATTCGCATCTGCCATCATATCTCGAGCAAATCTCCTTGGCAAATCCCGATTCTGTCATGGCTATAGAACTTGATTCTATGAATAGATTTAAGTATCTATTTCTCTCTTTTGGAGCTTCTATCAAAGGTTTTAAGTATCAGCGAAGGGTCATTGTGGTGGATGGGACTCACCTAAGTGGGAAGTATGAGGGTACTATGTTGGTTGCAGCCGCACAAGATGAGAATTTTCAGATATTTCCATAGGCTTTTGGGATCGTAGATGCTGAAGATGACCCTTCTTTGGAATGGGTTTTGACAAAATTGGCTACTTGTATATCTGATGACCAGCCTCTGGTGATAGTCTCCGACCGGCATACGACCATTAAAAGTACGTGTGATAAGGTGTTTCCTTGGACAGTGAGAGGAGTATGTTATAATCACCTTCAAGATAACATTGTCAAAAAGTATAAAGGGAAACATCTCTTGTACTTGGTGAAAGGTGCTGCTTATGCTCATACGGTTTCAGATTTTAACCGGTACATGGCTGAGATAAATAGTGCAAACCCAGACCTTGCAACGTATTTGGTGAATGCCGGCGTCAGCCTATGGACAAGGGTTTATTGTCAGGGGGACATGTACAACATAAAAACAA